GGGTGTGGCCAGGCGTGGTGGCTTATGCCTGTAATCCCAGCACTTTGGGAGGCCAAGGTGGGTGGATCACCTGAAGTCTGGAGTTCGAGACCAGTCTGACCAACATGGCGAAACCCTGTCTCTATTAAAAATACAAAATTAGGCAGGCGCAGTGGTGCACGCCTGTAATCCCAGCTATTCAGGAGGCTGAGGCAGGAGAATTGCTTGAACCCAGGAGGCGGAGGTTGCAGTGAGCCGAGATCACACCAATGCCCTCCAGCCTGGGCGACAGAGTGAGAATCTGTCTCAAAAAAAAAAAAAAAAAAATTAGGGGGTGAACATGTTAATAACGTTTCAAGATGATACACCAAAAAGAATCCAGGAAAGCAAGGGACCCAAGATGTTCTACAGAAAGGAACCAGACCAAGATTCAACAAAACTGCCGTGCCAAAGCCGGGTGTGGTGACATGCACCTTTAGTCCCAGCTATTTGAGAGGCTGAGGTGGGATGATCATTTGAGCTCAGCAGTTTGAGGCTGCAGTGAGTTATGATTGCCACTGCACTCTAGCCTGGGCAAACGGCGAGACTCCTATCTCTAAAAAAATAAAAAATAAATAAACAAAACATATTGGTCCAGGCATCATCCTGAGTTCCAGACAGGTAGAGCTGGCAGAATCCCAGCGAGCCAGACCAATAATTCCTCCCATTTTACAGATGGAAAAACCAAGGCCTGGAGTGGGGAAGAGACTTGCCCCAAATTGCAGGATGTCAGAGGCAGGGCAGGGCTTGAATCCAGGTCTTTTGCCTCTCAGCTCAGTGCCCAACTACCTGCTACTTCCTACAAAGCACAGTCCACAAGAACAGTGCAGGGGGCCACCTGGATATGTACAGGCGACAATACCACAGACACATCCCATGATATGAATCATTAAGATAATAACAATAAGCTACAGTTTAATGAGTACTCACTCTGTACCTGGCACAGTGCTAAATTCATTATAGGGGTTGAATCCTCACAACAACCCTAAGGATTAGGAACTGTTTTATATTTGCCCTATCTAACAGATGACAAAACTATGGCTCAGAGACGGTAAGCAACTTGTCCCAAATTGCACAGCCAAAAAGTGACCAAGCCAGTACTAGAAGTCAGGTCTGTCCTGTCAAACTCCAGAGCCTTAACTATCATCTTACAGTTATCCATCTGAAAGGCACAGTCCCTACCTGCTTCCCCGAAACCCCATGCCATCCTCACACCTCACTCCCTCGCCGAAAGCACATCTATCCCAACCGAGGACGAATGTTTCAAATTGGCCTGATTCATTGTAATGACTAAAGTCCATTTGAAAAAGAAAAATGACATAGTTCCTCCTGTTTTCAGCTGAAAGATATTCAACAGCCTCTTTTTTTTCCCTTGGTCCCTTGGATGAGAAGACCAAGACTCCCTTCTCCCCCCAGGCTGGTGAATTCCAACATCCCAGGAGCACATTATGCCAGGCAGTGGGAGCTGCTGGGGGTTAGTGACAGCTGGAGGGCCCCACTCTAATCAGCCCAGATAGTGCAACAGAGCCAAGTGAGCAATTTTCAAGTCCCCCCTGCAAATTATCTCATGTAACCTTCACAAGCTGCCCAAAGCCACCCAGCTGGGAAATGGGAGAACTGGAATCCCACCCAGGTCTCATCTAACTCAAGCCTGTAGTGCTGGTGAGATCTTCTAAGTGGAAGAGTGAGGTTAGCTTAGCGAAGGAGAACCATGAAGGAAGGGAAGTGGGAGGCAGAGAGACCCTCTATCCACCACCTTCATTTCTCTCTAGAGCCATGAGCACCTCCCATGGAGCCCCAGACTTATCAGGGCCAGAAGTACTTGTTTTATAATTAAGAAGGCGACAGAGGACCTAGCCAACTGCCTGGATTCAAAGCCTAGATCCTGGCTGGGTTTGGTGGCTCATGCCTATGATCCCAGCATTTGGGAGGCTGAGGTGGGAGGATGGCTTGACCACAAGAGTTCAAGACCAGCCTGAGCAACCGAGTGAGACTTGTCTCTAAAAAACAAACAAACAGGCCGGGCGCAGTGGCTCAAGCCTGTAATCCCAGCACTTTGGGAGGCCGAGGCGGGTGGATCACGAGGTCAAAAGATCGAGACCATCCTGGTCAACGCGGTGAAACCCCGTCTCTACTAAAACTACAAAAATCAGCTGGGCATGGTGGTGCATGCCTGTAATCCCAGCTACTCAGGAGGCTGAGGCAGGAGAATTGCCTGAACCCA